GAAGAAGAGAGAGAAACAGACCACCTTAAACATGTTTTTCAAGAAGCCAGCTGCCAAAAACAAAGGATGGAACGAGAGGAGATATCCCTGCAAGCTCTGGTAGCCTCTCCTGAATCTGACTCCGATTAAAAAACAATAAAAAGAGACCTGCTGCAACGTGTAAAAAGTCTGTATCTGTATGAATGTGTAAAGAAAGTGTTCCTCCACCTCCTCCTCACATCTGACTACCTGGCATAATTGGTGACTGCTCCATTTTCATTTTTTATGGTACAGTATGGTTATTTTATGCTGCGGAACGAATTATATGTTTTAACATGTATTTCTATGGGAAAATGCGTTTCATATAACGGACTTTTCACTTATCGGACGTGCACCTGGAATGGATTAAGTACGTTATACGAGGCACCACTGTACTCTGCTTTCAATCGAACCTATTACTGTTTACTATGTAGGAACCTGTGTGTCTCAAATTAGGAACTTATCTTGAATTTTCTTTCATTTCCATGATTTTTGAGATAGATGTGTTCGACTGTGTATTACTTTCTTTTTTTGTATTCTCCAGAAAGGAAATTTAATTTTTATGTTAAATACAGTATTGATTGATTGATTGATAATCTGTAAAATGTATTGTACACATTTTAGACTAGTTTTTACTTCATAACAGTATAAAAAAGAGAGAAAATGACTTATGCAATACACTTCTTGTCTAGTCTTATGTTGAATTATATGAGTGCTAAGGTGGCTTTTCTTTTTCGCTAAACTTATTATACCATCAATAAAAAGGAGGACAAACTTTAGAAAAACTTTTTATTTCTTTGAGAACTTTTTATTTCTCAAAGAAATAAAAAGTTTTTCTAAAGTATAATAAGTCTAGTGAAAAAGAAAAGCCACCTTAGCACTTATATAATACATCAGAGAAAATGACATTAAATAGATTGTGGACAACACTTTGTGCATTACTAGTGACAAACTCCTGTTCTCTTTCAGTTAGCAAGAAAAATTGTCATAAGTTCTACTATTTTCTCTGTTGTTATTCCATAATTCTTTGTATCTTCAGTAGAGATTGATAAAATTGTAATGAGAGTATAAATTTAGAGAACATAAGATATATAAATAACTAGCTTGATACACCTGGTGTTATTAATCATAAATGTACGTGTATATGGCAAAACCCATCTTAAGAACATTATCAAAATGCATATAAACTGTGGGAAGTATGCCCTCATAAATAGCAAGTTTTATAGAAAAATGATTAGAATTAAAACAGTACTATTCAGAAATGAAAATATCCAAGTTGTTAGATATGTAAAACTGAATACTTGTATAGTTTTCACAGTGTAATATAACACTCATGTGTTAAGTTGAAAACATGCTACTCAATACTGTAATGATATTGTACAGTACATCTCTTGAAAGCATTTCATCCATTGTTTTTTTTTTTTTTTAAAGTACAGTGGAACCCCGGTTAACGAAGGTAATCTGTTCCACAAGTCCGTTCGTTAACCAAAGCAATTTTTCCCATAGAAATTAATGCAAATAGAAATTAATACAATTAATCTGTTCTAGCCGTCAGTATTTTTGTAATTTTATTTGTAAAATGGGTTTTCTTTAATGAAAATATAGGAAAACATGCTCATAAACAGTCGATCTAGGTTAAATTTTCAGAAAAGGGAAAAGATTTGACGGGTATAAAAACGTCACATACTATCGTTAAAGTTCTAAAATGACAGATAGCAGAAACAATAGGCTAAATTATGAGCGAAAGGCTTATAGGTTTATCAACAATCTCTGATCAGAGTCGACGAACAGGTGTCTCGGAACAAACCTTTCTCATGACCTGATCTGGTTTCGGTTTTCACCTAGAGACAAAAAAGAAAACAATCGGGAAGCAGGGAATGGGACGCAGGACTAATCATAAGGTGAGATTCAAGGAAGAAATATTATAAAAACCCCGAATCTCAAAGTCAAAATGCAGTTTTCCTAAAAATTCTATGGCGATTAATCTGTGTTGTCTTCATCTGGATTAAGCCTGAAGTTGTGCCCGCTAAAATTTGTGTTGTGTTTCGTGGACCATTTCAGTCATTACAGCTCTGTCACCTACCATCGCTTCTGTGACCAAGCAAACCCATCTCGTCCGCTCTGGGGCTACGACTGATCAGTTTGCACTATCATAGGACCAGCAATACGCCACTCCTCAGTGCCAAGAGAAAATATTGTAGATAAGCCATTTCCAACTACCTCAAATATGTAAGCATCTTCCCATTCTAATAAACGATTTTTACTGTAAAATATACTTGTCATCTTTGTCTCCTCCGCCACTACCAACGTATGAATGGACCCTAGACCATCACCGACACACAAATAACTGATTTTCCCTAACAGTCGGCAAGCTTACAAATTTGACACAAAAAGCCGTTAAGTTTGTTATCCGAGACAAAATTTTTGCAAAATAAAAGTTCATTAACCGATTTGATCGTTAACCAGGATGTTTGTTAACCGGGGTTCCACTGTAGTTTTGTAAGGTACACTAAACTCTTCTTCAATAAAATATTGCACTTAATAGAGGTTTAGTAAAGTGAAGGTTAAAAAATATCACCTACAGTAATATCATACTTGATGGGCAAATTTACTAGTTATAAATTTAAATCTTATCAGAAAGCTTATTGAATTAGTTTTCCACAGTCAATCAGGCTGATTAAAGCATACATTTTTCATTCTTTATCTTTATTGAATGTAAATGAATGACTAATGTTAGATGAGATTGCAATGTTGGTTTATTTTCAGTAGTAATGATAAAATAATTATTATTAAGTTGTAATATTTCTAAATAAAATGCTAACTTATTGTAATCTTTTTAAACTTTTAATTAATGTTAACTTTGTATAAACTGTCAAATTTTTTTCATTTTATGGTACCAAGACAACAGTTATTTCTGCCAAACTTGGCACCAAACAATCTAAATTACTGTTTTCTAATTATTAAGAATAATCAAAGAGTATTATTACCCAAATAATAGCTATCAAGTGTTCAAGGCAATTACGATGTCATCCTACCACTTTGGGTGACCCGGGAATGAATTTGGGCATCAAAAAACTGGAACTGTATGTGGGTGATCTGTTCTGGATATGTTGGGCTCTTTCACCTGCCACCCAATCCATCCTGTTACTGGCCTGGCCAGAACTCATAACGAGTATAGGAAAAAGCTCATTAATGCCCACAAGGCAGAAAGTTCACCCAAAAAAATATCCACGTTAACTAATTAAGGCAATAGTATTATAATTAGGATAGCTTTTAATTAAAGAAACTAAGTAATTTGATCTAAAGATAGATATACTAATCTATACCTATCTTTAGATCACTACTTGTACTAATCTGTTATATATTATTAATAATTAATCATACTAGATATATAAAAAAAATCAAATACAGTATTGTTCTTATAATTAAAAAATTTACTAAACACCTAAAAGACATTAGCTAATTAATCAAATATAAAAATAATAATTTAACAATATTAGAAATTAATAAATCCTTCAGAAATAGAATGAATTGTATTATTACTTTGTTGTGTTTCTGCTCTGAGCCAGTTTGATTTTCCTTCAGAAAAAGTCATTAATATATTCATAATGTAATCAGATCTTACATGTAACAGTTTAGATGTGATTAAATATTGTTCCAGTGTTAAAGCAAATTTTATTTAAAATGTCTGCTGTGCTTATGTGACACACATCTATAGATGAAAAACATATTGAAAAACCATAAACGTGTGTATTCATTGAGTTGGAATGTGATATGGCTCGTTGTTTCCTGAAAAATATATGATATTAAATTTAATATTTATTATAATGACAGATGGTAAACATCTGCCTTATTATTATAAATTCATCTTATTTTTGCTGTGCATCATTTTATTTATAAAATATTGTGTGGAAATTTCATATATTCAATTCAATCGTTTTAAATATAATTTTTACTAAATGTAAGCAAAATTATGTTTGAAAATTTTAAAAGATTCTAATGCTACACACTGTTGTTGTTATATTTGAATAACAAAATGGAATATACACTGTAGTTCTTTTCAAATCTCTTATATCTATGATTTAATTTATTGCCAATAACTCATTCTCTATGACTGAGGATATTACTTTAGATTCTTCTGTTGCATTCTTGTTGGATTTATAGCATAAGTTTTGATGAAATTATTAATATTTGGTAGCTTTTCCTTAACTGTTTTTTGTTGGCTATGAATAGGCTTTCATTTTTTTTTCTTGTGCTCCTTAAGAGTTATTGATATCATATCTGGTTGCCAGTGAGATAGCCAAGTAAAAGATATGATTCAACATTAATATTTTAAAGACAAAGTTTGTCCAAACAGGGACCACCATTTTTTAATTCTGTGTTTCAGACAATACAATCTTGGTGACTGACCTTCCTTTTAGGCTACTAGCTGCCAAAATGCTAAAAAGTCCTTTTAAAAAACACAAATTTTCCAATTAAAAAATACAAACATATTTCTAACATAGGAATTGGTGACATAGGAACGAACATCTTCTTTAAACCATCTAACCTTCTTGGTATCTTTCAGCTTTATATCCATGAAGTAGTAAGCACTGGAGAATGTAGATTTGGAAAAGCTTCCCCCTGGTGATGATACTTTACAATTTTGATTCATAATTTCTTTCGTCTGATGGTTCTGTTTATAATTAAAATTTTAAAAACAAAGTTTGCCCAAACTTTGTCTTTAAAATATTAATTATAAAAAGAACCATCGGATGAAAGAAATTATTATTCAACATATTTGGACCAAATCATCTGAAAATTTCTGATCATCTGACACAAAATCAAACTTAGATCCTTCAGTGCTGCATGGACAATGTTCTGCAGCCATTTTAATATATGACATTAAGAATTCAAATTTATTATTTAACAAAATATTAAAATTTCTCTTATATTTTAATTTTTGTATTTAAATTTTAATTTGAATGTTTTAATTTTACAAGATAACAGGGCCAGACGAAAAAGTAATATACAAAGGAGAAAGAGAATCAAATNGTATATAAGCTAACTATATAACCATCGACGGTTATTACAACGCCGGCTGGGGACACATTCAGTGCCCACGTCCCCCAAGGCACTCAACCGGCCATCGCAAGCCCCGGCAAGGCGTAATATAAACAAACATTGCTACACCCGATATAACATAACTAAACACCAACCATATGCCGAAAATCTATCGGGCTAGTTATAGGCTAATTACTAAATGAATTATGTAACCAATTTGGCTCTAGAGGTAGGCGTTAGGCGCCATCTCTTATTAATATTAATAATTATAAATNCCACCAAAAGCTACTCAGGATAAAGAATCGGAAGGTAAATATACAGGCATGTTTATGGATTTAATTAATCTTTTAATTTCATAATTAAATTTTTTCTTTCAAGCAACTCATAATAAGCTGGAAGAAATGATCAAAGAGTTATCTACTTCCTTAACATCTGTAAAGCACGAACAGGAATATATGGCAGTTAGAGATAGGATTCACAGAGAAAGTAAATCTTAATTTTAATATTTTAAATATTATAATAGAGATAGACTGTAGTATACATTAAAACAATAATTCTAAAAAATTGTAAATTTTAAGAATGAATGAGTCAAAATCACTCTCTTTTTTTATCCAACTTTGAGAAAATTAAACACACAGATGGATCACAACTTGAAATTAATAATTATCTCTTACTTTATTCTCCATATGTATTTCGCCTGTTAGCCTCATCAGTGGATATCGCGCTTTACATTGCCAATACTTTTATGCTCTATCACTATATCCCAGCATGCATCTATGCATTCGCTAGTATTTAAATTAATAGTATTTACATAATCTCTGATGCAGTAATGTTCAATAATACGTCTTGTTACAAGATTTTCTATTTTATACAATATTTTAACATTATTTCGGTCACTATTATTTCGGTATTACAATTTGCAATACTACAATGTTGATGCCACGGAGATTCGGTTCGTTTTAATCGAATTGCTGCCTCGTGCTCCTTCAATCTCGTTTCAAGTTTTCTTTCTGTTTTACCAATATACAGGTAACCCCCATATAGCACGGGAGTTACATTCCAGAAAATTGCCGTGTTGTGCGAATCTGTGTTATAGTGCGAAAAGGGGGTTAAGTTCCAAAAATTAAAAAAACATGTTGTTAAATTTATATTTAAATCGGATTTATTATTCATTTTTTTCATAGGTAAAATACTTATATAAGTAAATATTTTACCAGAGGATTATTCATTTTATATGATTATGTCAGCATGAGCATCATCAACTGGTAACAGTTTGTGGGTGCGTTCGTTAATAGCGGTCGCTCTGCAACGGGAGTGCGCTGCTGTTTGTAGGCATTTAGGAACGACGGTGAAAGAAAGATGGCGGCACCTGCACTATCGATAGGATCGTGTGGAGGAATCTATAATTCTAAAGTGAGCTTTTAGAGGCAAAAGAAGTGTCTCAATTGTAAAATTTAACCATTAAATGGATTATTTTTGAAAGAGCATTCAAAGTAGCCACCAGTGGCGTGCCGTCATTGGAAGTGGTGGATGTGCCTCCTTGTATTTTCTGAAAATTAAATATAGTAGAGCATTGATTATCCGACTCAATTGGGGACTCAGGTTGGTCGGATAACTGAAAAAATCAGATAACCGAAAAAAATACATTATTAGTATAGTATATTAGTATATCCCATGTAATTACTATATTAATATATCGCTATTAACCAACTTCGCGTTAAATTTTCATCGATGTTAAGCCTAACAATTTTTTTTTTTTATAATAATTGTTGCTATTGTATTGTTAAAAATTATTTTAAAATTATTTTATTGCTCACAAAACAAACCACCATTCATAGAAAATTAAGTCTCGTTCAAATACTGGCCTCCCTTCAATGGTTGAGCCATGTTGCCAGCTAAAACACACAAAAATTTAACAAAAATAATATTAAAGTAGCCAAGACATAGCCAAATATTGTAGTGCCACATCACTAGTGGACATTTGAAATTTGCCGACTAGAACGGTCAGTTAACCGATGTGACTGTTAATTGGGGGTCGGATAATCGATGCTCTACTGTACATATTAATTTTAATTATATCAAAATAATCGCGCAATATTTTATTATAACCGCATTATGTATCTTATTACAAATTTTTATACTACACGTGAAAAAAAAGATAAGATTGCTATTGTATATTCGGATATTAGTGGTGGAGTGGAAGTGCTGTATTGTCAGCATCCAAAAAGCCAGATTTGCGCATGCACTTTACAGAACACCAACCTCACCCGGTTTAGCCGGTGGAAGCCTAGGACCTTGGGTGGATGCTACACATATGCATCCAATTCTATCCGGGACCGGTTCCGGTCTGTTAGCTGCCTGCCTGCTAGATATTTGGCCGCCCTCGCCCGATTACACGAATCGCGAGTAGATTTATAACTTAACCCAACCAATAAGAATTTACTGGTATATTTTTATGATAGTTTTGTATAGTTGATAGGAGTTTTAAAAAAAATCCATTAAAATATTTGATTTTTATTCTGCTCTCCGATTTTATATTACTGGCAGATTTCAATGTTAAACCAGTGATATTACATATATATATATATATCCCATCTTTAAGGGAATGTAGAAAAAAATGTGTACAATTCTTGTATGATGTTAAAAAATTAACCGTTACTTCGACAGCGTCATTTACAACTAAATTTAATGGATGAGAACTGACAAATAATACTTG